CAGTCCCTGGAGAAGGACATCATGCTTGGTAAAGTACAGGGTCAGCGAAAAAGAGGAAGACCCTCAATGAGATGGATGGACACAGTGGCTGCAACGATGGGCTTGGACATAACGATTGTGAGATGGTGCAGGACTGGGCAGTGTTTTGTTCTGTGTACATGAGGTCACTGTGAGTTGGAACCAACTCAATGGCATCAAACAACAACAGCCCACACCCTTGACCTGTATGATCCCACCTCCCAGGTGAGAGCCTGGTATACACGTAGAGCCCAATTACCACCTCCCCCAGCCTCCCCTGAAACTGGGCCGAGGCAGGGACTCAGCAAGTACTCACTAAACACCCAGAGGTACCCATGAGTGAGATTGGGGTTAAATAAGAGCAGGTTTGGGGACGGCTGGGCCCAGGGCCTGGCCCTATTGAAATGGTCCCACCTCCCTGGATTTAGTCATTCAGCAGATATTAGCTGAGCACCTGCTGTAAGCCGAGTGCTGTGAATGCCTGATGTGAACCTGACAGCTTGTCGAGGGGCTCACAGCCTAGTGGGGTGGGAGCTGGGGGTGGAGGACCAGAGGCAACAAACAGTACATGTGGGAGCAATAAGTGTCACCAAGAAAAATAAAATAGACGGGGGGTGGGCAGGGGAGTGGCCAGGGCACGTTGTTCACACCAAGCGGGGGATGGGGGCGGGCATCTCAGTCTGGGTTTATTTCATGGTGTACATAGACAAGGAGTTTGGGCCTGGGGTCCTGGGGCAGGAGGAGAAGGACCCCTTTCAGCCCCCAAATTGAGCTGTGTTCTATGCAAGATTAGGGGGAGTGCCCCATGGGACATGCTGATGTCAGAGCTTCAAGCCCATGAGGTGTTCTGGGCATGCCATGGAGATGAGCTTGGGGGCTGCAGAGAGGCCCCAGGTTGGTCCTCAGATTTGGGGGTCTCTGGTCTCCTTCAGACTGGAAGCTCCCCCAAGGTTGGAAGGGGCAGGGCTTCCCCCTCAGATTAGGACGCCTCAGGGGGAAGAGCTACAGTGTCTCCTCCCTCAGACCAGCAGCCCCTTCATGTCTCCCTCCGTCTCAGTTATCTAGTACTGTATAACAGAAATACCACAAGGGGGTGGCTTTAACAAACAGAAATTTATTTTCTTACAATTGAGGAAGCTAGAAGTCCAAATTCAGGGCGCCGGCTCTAGGGGAAGTCTTTTTCTCTCTGTTGGCACTGGGGGAAGGTGCTTGTCTCTTCAGCTTCTATTCTTTGGCTCCGTGGTGATCTGCATGTGGTATGGCATCTATCTTCCCCCATTTCTGCTTGTTTAATCTCTTTCATATCTCAAAAGAGATGGGCTCCAGACACACCCGACACTAATCCTGCCTCATTAACATAACAAAGACAATCCATTCTCAAATAGGATTATAACCACAGGCATAGAGGTTAGGATTTACAACACATATTTTGGGGAACACAATTCAATCCATAACATTCCACCGTTCGGCCCCCCAAAACTCATGTCCTGGCCACATGCAAAACACATTCACCTGATCGCATCCTCCCAAAAGTCTTAAATCAACTCCAAGTCCAAAATCTTATCTTCTGAATCATTGAAATCAAATACGGGTGAGACTTTAGGTGTATTCGATCCTGGGGCAAAATTCCTCTTCATCTGTGGGCTGTGAAATCTAGAATACAAGTTATCTGTTTCCAAATTACAGTGCTGGAATAGGCACAAGGTAGACATTTCCATTACAAATGGGAGAAACTGGAGGGAAAGAAGGGATAACAGGCACCAAGCACGTCCAAAACCCAGCAGAACAAGTTACATTAGCTCTCGAGGCTGGAAAATAATCCTCTGTTCTCTGAGACCATCTGGGCAAGGGCCCACCCTCCAGACTCTGGGTGTTAGACACACCCTCTGGATTCTGGATTCTGGGTGGAGGCCTCTTGGACCTGGACTTCAGCTCCGCCTTCCAGGTCCACTGGGATGGCAACTCTGCTCCTTCAACTTTAGGCAGCCCCATTCTCTTAGTCCATCTGAGTGGTGACCCCACTCCCTCGGCCCTTGCAGGCCCAGTTTTTCTTCCCTTTTGGGCATAGCAACCCTGCCCCCTCAGCTTTGGGTGGTGGCCCCATCCCCCTGGCACACATTAACTGCAGCCCCACACCCTGGAACTGAGTTGGCCAAGACCTGACTCTTTGACACCTAGGAGGCTGTAGCCTCACCCTTTGAGATCCAGGAGACTGTGACCCCACCCTTGTAAACCTAGAAGGCCCTGCTTCCCGTGCTCCTTCCAACAGTTCTGCTGATCTCTGAGTTCCTCCAGGGATGGTCCTTTTCTTTTCTTGGGAGACAATAGTTGTAGCTCCTTTGGCCTGTTTCCTGCCTGTAGAATTCCAAGAGGCAGATAGCATTCTCTCCTTTCATTCTTTCTCTGTTCCCTTCAGTCTAAGCTCATGGGTTTTCTGCTGTGGTAGTCAGTTAGATCCATCAGTCACAAGCTTAATCTCTTTAACAAAAGATTGTGTAGCCACGTCCTTGGTGAACATTCTAGGACAGGTGTTCTTAGTTTGTACAACAGAATTTTCCAAATGTTAAGTTCTGTTTTCATTTTGTACAGTTCATTTTAAAGTCCGTATCTTTCCTTGCACATTTTTCTATAAGCAACAAGGAGAAACCACACAGCCCCTTTAAGATCTTGCTTAGAAACCTCATCAGCCAGATATCCAAGATCATCTCTTACAAGTTCTACCTTCCCCTAAACATTTGAACATAATTCAGACAAAATCTTTGCCACTGCATTAAAAGCACTGCTATTCCTCCATTGTCCAATCACATGTTCATAATTTTCTTTAAAAAAAAAATCATCAGAGGCACATTTAACATCCACATTTTTAGCAACATTCTGTTGCTGGTGCCATATGTATTCTCTAAAATGATAGAGACTTTCTCTATAGTTCTCCTTTCTTCCTTTTTAGCCCTCATCAGAATTGCCTTTGATGTCCATAATTCTCTAACAGTGTCTTCAAGGCAATCTAGGCTTTTACTACTGGAACCCTGGTGGTGCAATGGTTAAGAGCTCAGCTGCTAACCAAAAGGCCAGCAGTTCGAATCCACCTGGTGCTCCTTGGAAACCCTATGGGGCAGTTCTTTTACTATTAGGCACCTTAAAATTCTTTCAGCCTCTACCCATTACGCCATTCCAAAACGACTTCCACATTTTAGATATCTGTTAGAGCAGCACCCCACTTTTCCAGTACCAAATTCTACCTTAGTTATCTAGTGCTGCTATAACAGAAATACCACAAGTGGATGACTTTAACAAACAGTAACTTATTTTCTCACAGTTTAGGGGGCTAGAAGTTCGAATTCAGGGTGCCGGCTCTAGGGGAAGGCTTTCTCCCTCTGTCAGCTCTGGAGGTAGGTCTTTGTCCTTTGAGCTTGTTTCCTGGTTCCTTGGAGATCTCCGTGTGTCTCAGCATCAATCTTCCCCGTCTCTGCTTCTCACTTGCTTGTTTAATCCCCTTTATATCTCAGAAGAGATTGACTCAAGACACATCCTACACTAATCCTGCCTCATTAACATAACAAAGACACCCCATTCCCAAATGGGATTCCAACCACAAGCATAGAGGTTAGGACTTACAACATGTATTCTTTGGGTCACTATTCAATCCATAACACCCTCCTTGACCAGACACTCTGCCTTCAGACTAGTGGAAACCAATTCCATCTTGAGGCAGGGGAGTGGGTCTCCTTCATTCTTGGACCCCAGAGCATTTGGCAAAGTCTTAGAAGCAGAAAGACTCAACAAGGGTCCTGCTTCATCCCCAGTTTGAGACCCAAAAAGCAGAAAAAAATTCTCCAGGGAAATAAGAATGGAAAGAAAACCTTTGAGTCCAAAAGTACATTCACTTTCCTGATTATTGGCATGTAATTTGTGGTTCTCAGATCGTGGATTTAAATGGGCACCTATTTCCTAAGGTGGGGGCTCGATGACGGTCTTGGCAGTTCCCACAAGGGTTAGGCAGGGCAGGAGGGGTGGGTGCCCTGTCCCCAGCACCAGCCTCAGTCCTCATCCTCACTGGCATAGATGCCGGCTTCCCAGCGTTCTGCCATGGCGTTCTTGTGGCGGGTCACCCGTGTGGCTTCCAGGACCTGCAAGAGGGTATGAAGTCCCCATCAGGGTCCTAACCTTCCCACATATCTCCCCTCACCTCAAAGTCACAGGAAGGACCTAGAACAGGGTTAAAGCAGGGTAATCCCCTCCTCTCTTTCAGACCCTCTACCTGTAGGAATATGGCCAGAGCACGTGTTAACTCATGTTGAGTGTAAAGGCAGGGAAAATGCCTCCCTGAACTGAGTCCAGTTTAGGGAGGGTCACAAATGTTTTCCATATATCGACTGAGGCAGCTGAGCTTCTACACACTCTCAGATGAATCCTTTACTCAAATAAAGTGTCCTTGTCTTGGGTCTAATCTGCTCAAAAAACATCACCATCTGGTAAAGAGGCAACACACAGACCCCATTTTCATAATCCGTGCCTAAAGCAGGCATCACGAGCAGATCACAGCAGAATCCACCTGAGACACCTCCAATCGAGAAGACACCCAGTGAAGTCCCCACAACTAGAACAAAGGCCTTTGATGGCCCTGATGCTGTGGGGTGGGGGTGG